TCAGCACCACCGCTCATCTTGTTTCGTCTCTGTTTGTGTTTTCCGTGTCTCACAGGCACGCAGGGCTGGGTAGCTGTGTGTGTGTGTTCACCACAACCACGTAGTGTGCGGCCATCACAGTTGTCTGTGCTCACACACCTCCCATCTCTCCCTTTCTTATTGAAGCACTACTCCCTTCCCTACCACTTTTTCGTCATCATCTCACACGCACGCGCACACACACACACACATGCGGACGCTTGCACAGGGGAGCAGGCTGTTTGTTGGAACCCATGGCAAGGCACGCACAACCAAGCAAGGCCACACGAGCAAGCAAGGACACAGGACAAGCAAGCAAGACGTGGGGCTGCCATAGACCACGCACCTCATTGGAGAAGGAGGGGAGCGTGAGCGGGTGGCGTTGCATTGTGTTGTGTTGTGTTGTTGTGTCGTGTTGTTGTGGACAGCGTGCACGTCTCTCTCCTTGTATCCCTCTGCCTTCCTCCCTCCCTTTCCCTTTCTCTCTATCTCTGTCTGTTCTCTCTTGCCACAGCATGTACACTGCTGCTGCTGCTGTTGCATGAAGGTGATGATGGCGGTTGATGGGGGGAGTGAAGCAGTGTGGCGCAGCATGGAGCTGTCGCTTGTTGTCTGTTGTGTGTTGTGTTTTGCTTGCAGTTGATATGGGATGCTTTCTCGCTTGTTCTTGACACGTGTGTCTGTCTGTGTGTGTGTGTGCTTGCTGCAGTGTTGTTGAAGTGAAGTGGAAACATACAATGCAACACGCATGTGCATCCGTGTGTATCGTGTGGTACTGGTGGTGGTGTGGATGGTTGTTGGTGGTTGCAGTGAAGTCAACACAGAGTGTGCTGTTGTGATGTGAATTGGATTGGTGGTGAGCTGGGCGTGTGGCTGTGGAGTGGGTGTTGCACGCAGGTGCGGACAGCAGCAGCAGCAGTGATGGAGGAAGTGGGGGCAAGGATGAAGCGAGCAATGATGGCAGCGACTGGGGGGGGTGGTGACCAGGCATGAACGCGGAGAACAGGCAGCATTCGCTTTATGGGCACCGAGCGTTGTAACACATGCAGCATGAAACAGAACGA